ATACAAGTACTGCTACATCCACGCTGTTGTCAAAATGGCTCCTTCCACCAGGTGCCTTGGTTGGGGTAAGGGAGAAAGAAATGTCCTTTGTCTTCACTGTGTTAGATGGTACCCTGCTCCTATTAGGACCCCAGGATGGAATCAAAGACAGTGTGGTCTGCCAGGCTCTCCCTCTGGCAATATCACAAGAGGCATAGGCTGCTGCATGCAGGCTGCTCTCACCTCACTCTCCAAAGCTGGCAGTGTCCTGTTGCTCCTGGTTGTGAGATCCTATATTGTGTTTGTACTCATTGCTGTATCTTCTGCACTATCTCATAGTGTCACTCTTACATCTGTAGAATTTCAACTGCAGTTTTGTCTCCAACTCTCTCCTGGGAATGCAATCCCTCCATTTTTTTCTGCTATTTTGTCCTTGCCTAAAGCAGTACATCTCTTTTCATTTCAGCTGTCTTGCAATCCTACAAGTTATGAGGATAGTACCTTTGCAATATCCCCACTGTATTGTGCCTACAACTTCCAGCATTTTGTGGGCATTTTAAAGGGTGATATACAAAAGCATTTTCAGTAAGATTAATTTCTTATTGACTATATAAGGATAAAAAAAGAGAATAAATGTTTCCATACTTTAGATTTCTAGCCAGTATTTAAGTCCCTCCATCTCCAAAATGGAGACGACTTTTCTCTGAGAAATTGTAAGAGATGCCACACAACTAGGAATTAAATATAATCTACAGCAAGGAGCTACTTTGTGACGAACACTACTCTCTGCTACTGGCAATGGGAGGAATATGCCAGGTGAAATCCTGAAACAGAAACCAAATCATGAAATTATGTGGGGTGTTTCTTAAGTGATAAATAAGACAATTTCAGAGGCATGAATGATGAAAATGTATATGAATTCCTATATCTGAAATTAGTTGCCATTGTGCCTTTGGTAATCAAATACATGAACTGTGTAGCTAACAGGCAGCTGCTGTTAGATTTTTGCAGTGTTTTGAGAAATACACTCATCTACATTTAAGCTTAAGGAAATTTCAACTAAGAATCCCAGTTGCAGTCCACAGCTGCCCACATTAAGCATGGACAAGCTGCCACAATGACCATCTAGTTCACTTTATTCATTGATGGTTACTTATGCAGCCCTTCCTTATATAGTCTGAGAACTCAGTATGACTGAAATCATAGAACAACAGGAACCTGGCGGATCCCTTTTTCCAGAAGAATTAAAGGAATTATAATTTTTCTGGTTCAGACTATTATTTGTTAGAGAACATTTAGGTTCTAAACCCATAACCATTGAATTGTAGAATTCAATGACACTGAGTTATTTAGACATAGTCAATAAACTTGTTACTATTTCTCTCCTCAAGCATGCCTTCTAATTATTCAGATCTGTCATATTTCCATGAATTGTTGTTCCTCTATTACCTGGAAATCTGATTTTTATAATCACAACTTTCTTTCTGTCTAAATAATGGCATCAATTAGAATAAGTATCTCAGATACATTTTTGTTGAATTCAAGATAGTTTGTCCATCTCAGTTATATTCAGCAACATGAATTTTTACCAACTGTTACACATATATGTTGTGCATATTTCCACTTAACAATTCCTTAACACTAATGTTCATAATCAAGCAAATAGCATTTTTCCTTAAGGTTTGATTTTAACTCTGAGAATTTGAATCAAATTCATATTTTACTTAAAAAGAATTTTGCATATTTTTTCAAAATTCTAATTTGAATGACACACTTAGAATTCTGACTAATCCATGTTCTCTAGCATTTTCTATAAAAAGCAATAGGAAAGGAAATAAAAGAGTTGCAAACAAACTGGAAGCTAAATGCATATACTCTGGAAAACATAAGAAGAAATACTTGGAATCATTGAAAGTTAACCATCTTGAGTTTCAGTATGAAAATTTATTTATTATGCCTACAAATGTAAACAAAGTAAATATGAATCACAATATCTATGAATTACAGATTGATTAAAGGCACGTGATAATTTAGCATGCTCTCTGAATTCCAAACACATAGAGAAACATAGTGATGGTTGGATCCCTTGTACATAGTGTAATTTTTCAATGAATAAAATCACATACAAATTATACCACAAGATGGAAATATATGTATATAGCTAATTGTGAATATTTTGACACTTAAACTCCTGCATTTTTGCTATAATTCATAATGATGCATGAATAACATGATCTAAAGCTATCCAAATAATAATAAATCTAATCATATAACTCTTATTTTTTATAGTTCTAACACCATTTATTGACCGATACTGTGTGAATGATAAAATGTTTCATTAATATAAACCCAGTTACATAAAAAATGACTATGAATAGAAAGCATCTGCAAAGGAAGCTGTCAGTTTAACAATAGATTCTGGTTATGATGTATTATCATACTGTATGCCCATAATTATATTATATTTTCCATGACTCATAATTTATCTATATTTAAATAATAATATTTTTAAAGTACAAGGTAGTAATTTCAACATTTTCTTTGTTTTCTAACTGAGGTTGATGCTTCTCTGGCTTACACCTACATTTCAGAATCTATATATTGTATTAATAATTTATAAATGCATTTCTGGACATAAAATTATGACATGTCTACTTTAATAATAAATGCAAATATTTTATTTTGTTGCTCTTCTTGACAAATGCAAACTGTGAAACAGTACCCTGTGTGGTTAGAATTTTTTCCAATGTCAGCTGTGCATTGGGAGAGCACTAACACTTGGCAGCCATGAGATATTTCACTGACTCAGCTGGGCAGATGGAAGTCATTCAGGACAGACCCTAAGTACATACTGTTTATGTTTTATATTTCTCAACAACTAGACATGCTTTTATAACTTATTAACATACTCAGAAATCTATACTGTATGAAACCCCTTTATTTGTGTTTTTATTTCATGATCACTTTGAAGCCCTTATAGGATCCAAAAGTTACAACTAATGTGCTTGCTTCCCTTCAGAAATATCTACAAGTAAAGGAGCTCAAATATTCATAAAATGAAATTATCTCCATAAAATGATCTTGCCATCTCAAGAACATTATATATCACTAGACAGGCCTATTTTTAATAAGATGGGATACTCGAGTCCTACTTCTCTGAAGGTGTCTTTCACTCTACAAATCAGGCTGTTCACACTCAGAGGTGGAAACACCACTGTTGAGGTTTTGAAGGTTAAAGAGCTGGAGGCATAGGTGGCTGGGAGGCTCCCAGAACTGTAACCAGGCAGCTGTCGCTTCTCTCTTCTCTCCCATCACCTCTTGTCTTGAAAATAACTTTTTTACTCCAAAGAAGTGGCAAGGGCAGTAGCCATCAGTGCTTCACTCCCTCTTAGCTCTCTCACCTGGGAGGGATCCCAGGGGAAGTCTCAGCCACCTGGATGCAACCCCATGCATCCCTTTTACACCTGGGCCACCCCCATGATAGGCGAGATCGCCACCACCAAGTTCATCATCTCCATGTTCCTCCACACCAAGAGGCTCATGATCAAGTGATAGCTGCAGACCTTCAGTCAGAGCCTGCAGGAGACATGGGCAGAGCATTACACACTCCACTGGCTCCCAGAGAAGCTGTGCAAGGGATCACGTTACATCATATTCCTGTGAGCATCAACCAGAAACTGGACCCTCTGATTGCACTGAGCAGTCAAGAGCTATTCAGGCTTCTCCCTGAACACTAACTTGCACTCTGGGCTGATGCCTATGAAGTGTCCTACAGAGTAGGACAGGATGGCTCCACCAGCGTGCTATAGGAAGTCTCACCAACAGGAGGAAGCACTCAGAACAGCACCAAGGTGCAAATGGTAGACAGAAGAATCTGCTCAAAGGAGGGTTCTCTTAAGTAGAAAAAAAACCTTCTAAAAATTATAAGATAATGCCTATCAGGCTAAGATATAGGCTATGGAAAGATGTCTTATAATGGATGGACAAATTTGATTTTTGCTTTGGGTGAGCTTTCTTGAGGATACATTATGGAACTTAAAACATGTCACAGCTTTGAAGATCTTGCACAAAATAGAATGGTAAAATAATTTTAAGTGTCAAAAGCCATGGTTTGTACAGTCCATTTCAATGACTTAGTAGCCTTTGAGACCAAGTAAATGATCATTTTATTTCCTAGGAAGTGAAGTCCTATGTTTCAGTTTCTCCAAGGCATTAAACCTAAAGTTTTATATCAGTCACTTTAATGAAAATCAATATTTCAATGAATCTTTCTCTGCAGTATATCTTGCAGATAAGTTTTCACTATTAATGCTTGAAAATTAGCATTAATTTTTGGTATCTCAATAGGAAAGATAAGTGTCTTTAAAATGGTAGTACTGGGAATTTTATGACAAGACTTTTAGCTAGCACTTAAATATCTATAAATGTACACAAATACAGACCAGTAAGCATGACCTGGGGAAATGGTCAGCTCTTGTATTTTTTTTTTTTTTTTGCCTTGAAAGTAGCAAGTGACCAGAATCTTCCATGGCCACAGGATTTAAAAAAAAAAAAAAGACTCTTTAGAAAATACCAGGCACCAGCCAGCTCTCTGTATATTTGTTAGTTTGTAGTTTTCTAAGACTGAATAAACAACGTAATTTTAGAAAGTGTAGGTCTGGTTTGTAACTCTCCTTGGACTTAATTATTTAAAAGTCTTTTCCACAAATCACCATCTATTTCATTAACTTTGTTAGTCATGTTTTGTTGTGTAAATTAGGAACTGGTATAAATTTGTACAGATTGTGGCAAAGTTGTACAGATTTCTATATTTTGGATTTTGGATGAGCAATTTTTCTTCTCTCTATAATAGTTTCTTATAGTGGCATTGAAAATAAATGCTTTAGAAAATGTCAGGAAATATATAACTCTGTATGTGTTTTGAATATGTCATTTTCTAAAATGTATTGGTAGATGAAAAATATGCTGTGATTTATTAAAGTCAGATATTCTAAGATTCAATTCTGCTTTTCCAATTTAAGCTGATAAGACTGAGTCTCATCTGGAAGAAGACTGAATTATGAAAGTACACACTCAAGAGAGGAAGAATATATTATTCACATTATTATTTACAGGAAGGTGCATCAGATATGTAAATGATTTCATAGCATATGTATTCTGTGTATGCAACGTATGATTTCTAAGGCTAATAGGTCTATTTTATCTTTCATCTGGATTCTATGTGGTGCATTTTTGGTTAAATATTCAAATAACAGAAGTTGTGCAGAATATATATGTATTTATACATTATTATAAATATATCAATTTGTGATACTATCTGGACCAAAAGTAACTCCTAAACTAGTAGTAAAAATCAATTAAAATCTATGTTTTCAATATTTTCTCATAGTGTAAATCTAGAATTTTATTTAAATAATTTTACTTAACAAGTTTACTTAAATATTCTTAGAGGCGAACATTATGGTATAGTAAGATAAGTCACTGCTTGTGATGCCAGTATCCCATATCAGAGCATTGGTTCAAGTCCCAGTTGCTTTACTTCTGATCCACTTTGGCTAGTGTTCCTGGGAAGTGTTATGGGTCATGGAGGGGAGGGTGGTTACCTGAGCAAGCTCCATGTGTGCTTTTCCTCAGCTTAGCATAGAAATAAAAACATGGGAAACAATTTGCAAATAAGATGCAAAATCTTTATTTAGTTTGCAAAGCAACAGTAAAGCATCTAGCCCAACAGGAGACCAGATGGAATGCCAGAGCAGGACAATGGCTTTCAGGAAGTGCCCAGGGTTTTTATGGCATTACTGCATTTTAATTGGGTCAATCTATGGGGGTGCCCATTGGACAGGGGCTTCACATAGTCTATGTTGATTGAACTGGGGCCACCCAAGGAGATAGTGGGGGTCTCATGAAGTCAGCCAGATTCCCCTTAGGGGCTCAGGCCTCTCCTGTACTAGCTCTGGGTAGAGGATTGACGTTGTGGTTAGAACTACAGGCTCACATATACTGAACAGGAGGTTATCATGGGGGAGATGCCAGCAGGTAAAACAAGCTTTCCAGCCACAGCTTGCAGCCTGCTTGCACATTTGCAACCTGATTATGTCAGAAATTCTTTCTGTGTCTAAGAGGCCCACAGGCACTTGTCCCCCTCCCCGGATATCCTCAGGAAGGCAGCAAATTATGGCCCAAGTACTTGGCCCCTAGCCACCCTCATTGAAGACTCATATGGAGTCTCTGGATACTAGGTTCAGCCTGGTCCAATCTCAGATGTTGGGAGCATTTGGGAAATAAACCACTAGATGGAAAATCTGCCTCTACCTTTCAGAAAAATATATACATTTAAAAAATAAATATTTAATTTTTAATATTTTTCAGTGGGAATTTTGTATAGAATATTGTTTTTTTAAGATTTTTTAAAAGATTTTATTAATTATTTGAGAGGTGATGAATTACAGACAGTGAGAGGGAGAGACAGAGAGAAAGGTCTTCCTCCCGTTGGTTCACTCTCCAAATGGTTGCAATGGCTGGAGCTGCACTGATCTGAAGCCAAGAACCAGATAACTTCTTCCTGGTCTCCCACGTGGGTGCAGGAGCCAAGACTTGGGCCATTCTTCTACTGCATTTCCAGGCCATAGAAGAGGCTGGATTGGAAGAGGAGCAGCCAGGACTAGAACGGTGCCCATGAGATGCCAGTGCCACAGGCAGAGGATTACACCTATTGTGCTATGGCGCCAGCTCCCCTGAATCTTTTGAGCCCTTATTTCCATTTTGCTGTACTCCTCAGCATTCTTGAGTTAGCCATTGAGTGTGCAATGAGCTATTGTATACTGGTAACATGAAGACTGGGCAGCAGAATACTCTGGAACTTATAATGCTCATGCATAAATGGACAAACAAGGACTAACACCTGTAGTGACTATGCTGTCCCTCGCCCTGTCCTGGATGACACCAAGTGTGACCACAGGGTTTCTGTGATTGGTTGACACACTGTGATCCCAGTCATCAGAATAGCTGTTGCTATTGACATTACTTCCCACAAGCAACTGAGAGCAGGTGATAAAATTAAGAAGAACTTTTTGGGGAGGTGAGAAAAATAGGAGCACAGACACATAGGCACAACCTCAGATAGGCACATCTGCACATACAACAGAAAAGCAGCCCAGAGCTGCTGCATAGGCCTGCATCAAGTTAGGGATACTAGTGTTGCTTCTATCATACTAGAACTAAAAACACTCCAGGTCTTAGAAACCCAAATAAATTGATGATATACCTGTTAGACTTGGAAGGGTTTTACTGTCAGCACATTTATAAGGCCTTCTCTGATTACTATTTTCTGTTTCTCACATTTTCTTCCCAAGACATTTGCCTGTAGAGATAATTCCATTTAGAAATGTCCTCTCCCTTTAAGTGTGTTTTGTTTATGGCCCTGCAAAAGCACTCATAATATAGATGAAAACTAACTCATTTCCTAAACTCTGGATTATTTATAGCTACCACTGAATAGTATATTCAAGATTTGGATATGTTATATGATGTGTGAAAACTTAAAATTAAAATTACAATTAAAAAACATACATGTTTCTCATGAAAATCTGAGAACTGTTAAAAGCATAAAACTGTAATGCATTCCACTGCATGTAATCATTCTATATTTATTTTGGAACACTGAATTATCTATTTTCATTCTATATGATCACCACATAATAGATAATTTGCTAGTGTTTACAAGAGAGGTACAACACTTTAACATATTTTTAAAGTCTTGATAACACAATGAACATAAATATTTAATGTAAAACTGTATGATTTTCTTAAAAGCTTGGTAGCATTTTCAAATAATTTCTATTAATGATTTTTTGAGAGAATTAGAAGAATGTGCATTTATGTGCATGTAGGTCCTCATGTATATGTATCTTTCTTAAAGTTAAGCAAATTATATTTGAGAGTAAAATGGATTTATACCACTGCAATTCATGTTTTGTGGTATGTTGACAAAATATGATATCAATGTTTATCTCACATTAAATTTTTAAAGTACATGGTAAGAACACTGAGAATTTATTTCTAGGAGATTATAATATAATTCTCTAGAGTTCTCATGCTGTTCACCAGATCTCTAAACTGATTAACCTTACAGAATTAAAACTTTATACATAGACCAGGCATTTGGTGGAGCAGTTAAGATGCCACATGAGAGGCTCACATCCCTTATTGGAGGGTCTGGGTTTGAGCCCTGGCTCTGCACTAAATTCTGAAGTCATGCTAATACATGTTTGGAGGCAGCAGGTGATGGTTGAAGTTGTAGGTCTGTCACCACAGGGAAAACTTGGATTGAGTCCCTGGCTCCTGTTTTGACTTGGCCTAGCCCTAGGTATTGTGGTAATTTGGATAATAAACTAAAAGGATAAATTTCTGTCACTGCCTTTCAAATAAATAATGATTAAAAACAATTTCTACCCTTTGATCTACATCATTCAATCCTATCCCAGTAACCAATGTTCTGCACTGTTTCTATGTACAGCATTTGGATCCTAAAAATTCTACATATAATCAAGACCATAAAACAATTTAAATATTTTTTCTATATCTGGTTTATACTCCAGATTCATCTGTGCTGTAGCAAATGGCTAAATAATTTTCTCTCAATAGCATTCCATTATAAAATATTTGATTCTCCATTTCTTTATTTATAATATTTCTTCATCCATCAGAGGTTACTTAGTGTGTTTTCATTTCTTGGTTACTGTAAAAACACTGCAATAAACATGGGAGCACAGATATCTCTACCAGGTGATGACTGACTGATTTCTTTGCATATACACCCAGTAGAGTAATTGATGAGTCCTATAGTTATTCTATTTTTACTTTTTGAGGAACTTTCATATTGTCTTCATACTGGCTGTACCCATGTACATTTCCACTAATTATATAGATGGGTTCTTATTTATCCACATCCCTGACTACACTTGTCATCTCCTATCCTTTTGACAAAAGGCACTGTAAAAGAAGGTGAAATATTATTGTATATTTGACTTGCATTTACCTGGTATGTTAGTGATATTGAGCATCTTTCTATATATCTGATGCATTGCAAGAAAATGGTTCTCTACTTATATATGTACTTTGCTATAACTTTATTTTCTATAACAAAAGATGCCAGAAGGTAATTATAATAGCATTATTTATTAAAACCCTTGCATATTTGTTTTTCCAGAAACTGGTTTGCAGCTCAGAAAAGAATAAAATATTTTTAAATAAAGATTGTTATTTGCTTTCTGCATATTTACAGATATTCCAAGTTTTGTGCTGTTATTTGTCTCTAGTTTCACTTGTAATCACCAGATGATATATTTTATATTATTCAAACCTTTGAAATATTGAATACTTTTCTTCTAAAAAATTATGACTTAAGTCATTTCCAGACAGCATTCCATGTATACCTGGTAAGAAATATTTAACTCACCAAGAAAATAATGACTATGCCATACATTCTGAGTGTTCCTCCCACATAAGGTCTTGATGTGATTAACAGGTGACTTGTTAGTCTTACAGACAATTAAGTCATGCATTAATGAGTTAAGGTTTAGACTGTGGTAAGGGAGTTCTTATTCTATAAGCTTACATAATATATAACTTTAAAATATATAAGACATTTCCTGTGTACTTCTTAGTTATTTTTATTTTTATTTCATCATACTATATCTTTTTATAAAAGGCACTTATTGTATAAATTAATGTAAAGTAGCCAAATCCAGCTATATAGCAGCTTCAGAAACAGACCTGACCAAAAAGTTCCCAGTAACCAGGCATGATCCAATTGTAGTGGTTATTTGTATCTCACGAATATCAGAACTTCTTTCAGGAGCTGGCTATAAAAGAGAAGATGGCCCAAGTCCTTGGGCCCCAGCAACTGCATGGAGACCTGCTAAAAGGTCCTGGCTCCTGGCTTCAAATTGGTGCAGCTCTGGCAATTGTGGCCATCCAAGGAGTCAGTGGATGGAAGACCTCACTCTCTCTGCTTCTGCCTCTCTGTACTGTGCCTTTCAAATAAATAAATAAATCTCCAAAAAGTAATAGAAATACAAAGTAAACAATAGTAATATTTATGGAAAAATGGCAGGGTCAAGTTGTTACATATCAATAGTAACCTTGAATGTAAATGACTTCAACTCTCCAGTTAAAAGATTCAGACTGGCTGAATTGATTAAAAAACAAGAGCTCTTTATTTGCTGCTTAAAACGAACACATATCACCAACAATATATACACAAAGACTGAAAAGTTATTCCATGCTAACAGAAAACAAAAAGAGCAGGTCAAGCCATCCTAATATCAGACAAAATAGACTTTAACGCAAAAATTGTTAAAAGAGACAAAGAGGGCAGTATGTAATGATTAACAGATCAGTTCAACAGGAAGATGTCACTATATTAAATGTATGAACCCAATTACATCATACCTGGCAATTTTTTTCTTTTTTTTTTTTTACTTTTATTTAATGAATATAACTTTCCAAAGTACAGCTTATGGATTACAATGGCTTCCCCCCCATAACGTCCCTCCCACCCGCAACGCTCCCCTTTCCTGCTCCCTCTCCCCTTCCATTCACATCAAGATTCATTTTCCTTTCTCTTTATATACAGATCAGTTTAGCATACATTAAGTAAAGATTTCAACAGTTTACTCCCACACAGAAACATAAAGTGAAAAATACTGTTTGAATACTAGTTATAGCATTAAATCTCAATGTACAGCACACTAAGGACAAAGATCCTACATGAGGAGTAAGTGCACAGTGACTCCTGTTGTTGACTTAACAAATTGACACTCTTGTTTATGGCATCAGTAATCACCCTAGGCTCTTGTCATGAGCTGCCAAGGCTATGGAAGCCCCCTGAGTTCACTGAATCTGATCATATTTAGACAAGGCCATGGTCAAAGTGGAAGTTCTCTCCTCCCTTCAGAGAAAGGTACCTCCTTCTTTGACGACCTGTTCTTTCCACTGGGATCTCACTCGCAGAGATCTTTCATTTAGGTTTTTTTTTTTTCTCCCCCAGAGTGTCTTGGCTTTCCATGCCTGAAATACTCTCCTGGGCTTTTCAGCCAGACCCGCATGCCTTAAGGGCTGATTCTGAGGCCAGAGTGCTGTTTAGGACATCTGCCATTCTATGGGTCTGCTGTGTATCTCACTTCCCATGTTGGATTGTTCTCTCCATTTTTTATTCTATCAGCTAGTATTTGCAGACACTAGTCTTGTTTATGTGATCCCTTTGGCTCTTAGTCCTATCATTATGACCAGTTGTTAACAGAAATTGATCACCGGGACTAGTGAGATGGCATTGGTACATGCCACCTTGATGGGATTGAATTGGAATCCCCTGGTATGTTTCT